AACATCGATGAGAGAGAAACATCGATCAGCTGCCTCCTGCACACTCCCCACTGGGGATGTGCCCACAACCCATGTACATGCCCTTGACCGGAATCGAACCTGGGACCTTTCAGTCCGCAAGCCGACGCTCTATCCACTGAGCCAAACCGGTTTCGGCTGATTTTAAAACATACTTCAATGCTTCTGTTATCAAAAAGAAAACTCTAATACAGCTTTAGCCAGTTTGGTTCAGGAGATAGAGCACCAGCCTGTGAACTGAAGGTTCCCAGGTTCGATTACGGTCAAGGGCACATGCCAGGGTTGCCAGCTTGATCCCCACTACGGAACGTGTAGAAGGCAGCCCATCAATGATTCTCTCTCATCATTGATGTTTCTATCTTTCCCTCTATCTTCCTCTCTGAAATTAATAAAAAAAAATAAATAAACAACAAAATAAAAAACCTGTAATACAGACATTAAGAGAAATAATGAAGCAAGGTAGAATAAAAGGCCTATATAGACATGCTCCTGGAAAGGTCTTAAGATCTTCACCCAGGGTGCCTAAACCACAGATAAGAAAAGGATATTCTTTCCTTACCCCAGTAGCTCAGTTGTTTAGAGTGTGGTCCTCATACCAAAACATTGCAGTTTTGATCTGTACTGAGGGCACGTTAAAAAGTAACCAATGAATGCATAACTAAGTGGGGAATTAAATGTATCTCTCTCTCTCTCTCCCTCTCTCTCTCTTTCCCCCGGACCCCCGCCCACTCTCGCCCCATGGCTCTCTTCCTCTAAAACCAATAAAAATAAAGTATACAGTAGTGCTGGGTGTCTTTAAAGAACTCAATAAATGAACTACACATGCAACCTTAAATTGGAATGTTAACAGTATAAGATGTCACCAGTACCCAAGGTTGACATAAACATTCAAAGCAGTCACTATCCACGTCTCAATATCCCTCTCCACAAAATTAGCAAACCTCATCCTAAAATTGATATGAAATGACACAGGACACCAGGGAACCAAAACAAACATGGAAGACACAGTATAACCTTAAAGGCATCATGCTTCATTATTTTAAAAAACTATTTCAAAACTGATGTGACCCAACAGTTATCATCTACACATTAAGACACAGGTAAATAAAGGAGCACGTTAGGCCCTGACCAGTGTGGATCACGGTTAGAGCATCATCCTGTGCACGTAAGGGTGGCAGGTTCAAATCTCCTTAAAGGGCACATACCTTGGCTACAAACTGCCACCCAACCTGGGTTGAGGCTTGAGTAGAAGAGGGCCAGTCGATGTGTCTCTCTCACATGAATGTTTCCCACTCTCTCCCCCCTCCTTGCTTCCACCCTTCCACTCTCTCTGAAAAGCAATGGAAAAAATGTCCTCACGTGAGGATTAACAACTACAAAAAAGAAGCACTGTAGAATAAAGAGAGCCTACGTACAACTTCTCACCCATGAGGTAAAATAATCTTCTACAAGGGTACTTATACCACCAAAGAAGTAAAGCAGATTCTCACACATACGAATAGTGTTGACATACTTAGATGTCTATGTGTAAAAGAATGAGTGAAGTTGGACTGTAATTAAACACCACATACAAATATTAAACCGAAATGTATTAAAGATTGAAACATAAAGCTAATAAGTCAATCTATTAAATGACAAGTTACAGAAACGGTTTTGTTTTCAAATATATTTTTATTGATTTCAGAGAGGAAGGGAGAGAAAGTTTATTGATTTTTAGAGAGAGAGGAAGGGAGAGGGATAAAGAGATAGAAACATTGAAACATTAATATATTCACTGAATGCCTGCCTCCTGCATGGCCCCTACTGGAGATGGAGCCTGCAACCTGCTCATGTGCCCTTCATCAGATTCCAGCCCAGGACTCTTCTGTCCACAGGCTGACACTCTATCCACTGAGGCCATCTGGCTACGCCATGAAGAAAAGTTTTAATGATATTTGATTTTTTATTCTAGCACTAAGAGGAAAGGTAAGCAAAGCATAATAGTCAAAAGGCATTAAACCCCATGTAAAAATAACTTCACATTAAAGGAAATGGTCAGTGCGTTCAAAATAGAAGCAGGGAAATGGGAAAAAAGGTCTCCAAAGCATATTATCCGATTAGTAGTTAATATCTATAATATATACAGACCTTTTACAAGTCAACATGAAAAAAGTAACACAACTTTTAAAATGTCCAAAGCTATATGGTTAACTAATGTGTAAGATAGAAGGCAAGAACACACAATAGGGAACGACAGATTCTTCAAGAAGTACTGTAACAAAACAGGTACATGCAAAAATTATAAAATTAGACTCCATTAATAGGCCACTAACCAAAATGAAATCAGAATGGATTAACATCTAAAATTTGAAACCTGAAGCCAATGAAAACATTGGAAGAAATCATAGTCAATGAACTTTACCATCACTGTGAAAAATACTGGTTTGGGTTTATCTTTTCAGGCATACCAAAAAAGCTAAAAAATAAAGAAATGAGACTACAAAAGAATAAGTTTGGCATTCCAAAGAAACCACAGAGAAACAGCAACAACAAAAGCCTAGCAATGTTACATCCTCAAAAGCTAAAGATCCAAAATATATAAGGAAGTCATACAATTTAACTCCAAAAAGACAATATGATGGAAAAATGTGCAGAGGACCTAAATAGACATTTTCCAAACAGGATATAAAGATTTACAATAGAAATATTAAATGATGTTCAACTCATTCATCATCAGAGAAATGTAAATGGGCACCACCATCATATACAACCAAACACCTAACAGGATGTCAATCATCCATAAATCAATAAAAAAATGACAAGTATTACCAATTAAGTGGAAAAATGAGAACATTGATGCACTGTCAGCAAGATTATGAACACACTGGTGCAGCCACTAACAAAACACAATGATTTTCCAATATTTACTAAAGGTACCAGGAAACCAGTGATTCCATATCTGGCAATTTATATAGAGAACACATATGGTCATGGCACACATAAAAAAATCAATTAATGCCCAGCTGAAGTTTCTATCTCTCTCTAACTCGCCCTCCCTCCCTGAATTCAACAAAATCTTAAAAAATCAAAAAAGAAAAGAAAATGGAGTGTGAATTTTTATAGAGGCTTTCCCATTTGCAATCCAGACTGTACTCTAGCCAGAAGAAATGGTAGAATATTACAATATTCTAGAAAATGATTTTCTAAAATATTCTTTTCTGGTAGTACCTTAATAAGTGTAGACAACACGTAATGTGTGCAAACACTGGGTTCTTAATTCACATACATCAAAAAGCCTTTCTTTTATATCCCAAGGACCCCCAATTTGTTCCTTTTTAAAAAAATGTATTTTTTTCGTGGTTTCAGAGGGCAAGGGAGAGGGAGAGAAAGAGAAACATCAATGATGAGAATCACTGATAGGATATCCCCTGCACGCACCCACTGGGGAGCGAGCCGGCAACCCTGCCATTGGCCTTGACCAGAATCAAACCTAGAACCTTTCAGTCTGCAGACCAGTGTTCTATCCACTGAGCCAAACGAGCTAGAGCTCAATTTGTTCCTTGAGAGCAAGCATCTAACACAGAAAACAGAAGCCCCTTGAGATGTTAAAATAATAAAGGAAAACCCTGCAGGTGAGGAACTCGGGAAGGGGTCATCCTCACCCAGGGAGGCCAGGTTGCTGCAGTTCTCCACCATCACCTCCAGGTACAATTTCCGCTGAGCTGGGTCCAGGCATTTCCACTCCTCCTGAGAGAAATGTATGGCCACATCCCTAAAGGTCAATGGTCCCTGAAAGAAAATATTTACCAAGAGGTCACCAGAAGAGTTCATAATGTCATGTAACATTAAAACAGTCTTAGGAGAAGAGGTTGGGACCTACAGGAGTATCCTGAATCACCTATAGATCACTTTCTTGATATGTAACTTTCCTTGATATGACTTTGAACACTGACAAATGAGGATGACATATGTCAACAAATCCTAGATATAGACTTACCTTTATAGGAAAAAAAACTTTAAAATTAAGGTAAAGCCCTGGCTAGTTTCTCTCAGTGGATACAGTGTCGGACTAGGCACTTAAGAGTCCCGGCCTGGGGACTGAAGGGTCCCAGGTTCGATTCCGGTCAAGGGCATGTGCCTTGGTTGAGGGTAAATCCCCAGTGGGGGGTCTAAAAGAGGCAGCTGATCGATGTTTCTCTCTCATTGATGTTTCTCTCTATCCCTCTTCCTTCCTCTTGGTAAAAAATCAATAAAATATATTTTAAAAAAAAAAAGAGTCCCGGGATTGCCCTAGCCGGTTTGGCTCAGTAGATGGAGTGTCGACCTGCGGACCAAAGGGTCCCAGGTTCGATCCTGATCAAGGACACTTGCCTTGGTTGCAGGCTCCTTGGGCCCTGGCTCTGGTCAGAGGCAACCAATCGATGTGTTTCTCTCACATCCATGTTCTATCTGTATTTCCCTCTCTCTTCCACTCTCTCTAAAAATCAATGGAAAAATATCAGATGAGGATTAATAAATAAAATAAAATAACATAAAAACTAGTAAAAAAGAAGAGTCACAGGATTAACTCTTGTTGTTCGATCCCCAGTAGGGGGTGAGCAGGAGGCAGCCGATCAATAATTCTCTCTCATCATTGATGTTTCTCTCTCTCTCTCCTTTATTCTCAAATATCAAAAATAATATTTTTTAAATAAATAAATAGTAAAATAATGGTATGGACACAGGCATATAGATTTCTGAATGCTGTGTTTGCATTGCTCAGGTTCAGTGGTGTATATTTTTCAGCTGGAAATGTCATGCTCGCTTGGAAGTATATGGACTTCTTCTCAAGTGTGAAGTAGACCACAACAAAATGAACTTCTGTACAGACATAGACTCTGATCCAGGTTCTGAGATGGGGCCTGTGTTTTCCACATGTGTCACAAGATCACTTTTTACCTGTGATGCCAATATTTCGGTATCATGTGCCATACATTTGAATACTAAGAAAAAGAAAACACAAGAAAAAATTCATATGGAACTCTGAACTAAAAAAGATTTGTTAATGGAATTCAGCACGCAGGCCTTCTTTCTCAGAGGGCCAGGAAGTCTTATCCCAAATTTGGGAGACAAAGGACTGGAAAAAGTATAAATAAAGAGAGTTTCCTCCATATTGGGGGGCCCAAAATTTGAAAGACACATTTTTCTCTGGGCCTCCACAAAATCCTATCTAATAAAAGAGAAACATGGTAATTGGAATACAACCGCTACCCTTCCCATTGGCTAATCAGCGAGATATGCAAATTAACTGCCAGCCAAGATGACGGCCGGCAGCCAGGGAGCTTGAAACTAACATGAGGCTTGCTTGCTTCAGTGATGGAGGACTCCAAGGTTCCCCGACTGCCACTGCAGGCCTT